GCTAGATGGCTGCTTGTTTAATTACAGGCTTTTAGGACCTCAGACACTATATCTTTTGAAAGCCAGACACTATCAGCTTTCTAAAAGGAGTATTTTGAATTGGTAACTTTATAAAGTCCTCTAAGTTAGTTTGTTTCCATATGTTTTTGGAACAGACAGCAATCGATCATTAAGAAAAACAGCTCTAATTTTTATAATTAAGATTCTGTGTTCATATTTGCAGCTGGAAAATGCTGGAGGAGACCTTAAGGATGGCTGCCACCACTATGAAGGAGCTGTGGTCATCCTGGATGCTGGTGCTCAGTATGGGAAAGTCATAGACCGAAGAGTGAGGGAGCTGTTTGTGCAGTCTGAAATCTTCCCCTTGGAAACACCAGCATTTGCTATCAAGGAACAAGGGTTCCGGTAGGCTTTTCACTCATGTTTTTTTCTGAACAAAGTTTAAATTGTGTGGTATTTTAATATTTTCTTGAGCATGCAATATTTTTTGTTTAAGTTAAGTGATGGAGCTGATTTATAAGTTTTCCATGTCTCTTTACTGAAAAATTGACAAAAATTAAGGTGAAATGTGAGCTTTTCAGTTAAGAAAGTAACCTTAATTTTAATTGTACAGTTTTAAGAACTTAGCCTTTTTTTGTTTATTTTTTTAAGACTAGTGAAGTACAGTAGTGAGGGGGAGGGGGGTAGACATGTAGGTCAACTAGTAATTGGCTGTAAGAATCGTTGTGAGATCTCACTACTTTCGGACCAGCCAAGAACTTAGCCTTTTTAAGTTTAATAAGTATTTTGTGCTTCATAAGACTTGGCATGTAACTTTTATATCCCAAAACTTTTAATCATAGAATACACAGGAACTTGAATAGAATACACAAAAGAGAAGAATTCCATGTAAGATTGATCTCTTATTTTCTAGTCAAATAGATGTTAGTTTCTGAAGTCTGAATAAGATTTCTATGATGAATATAAGGGTTAATTTCATAGCCTGTGGCCTTAGAACTACTCAAAATAGTAACCAGACAACTTACATAGAATTGGATCTTTTAACTTGATTTTTCTAGATAAAACTATTTTGTCATGGGAAGAGTTTTTTTATTAAAAAGAAAAAACAGCAATTACAGTTTATATCCTTAACAGACTCTTAAACCTTAAATATTAGATATGCTATAAAAACCAAACTCACTATCGTTGAGTCCATGCCAATTCATAGCAACCATATAGGACAAGGTAGAATTGCTCTGCCCTGTGGTTTTCTGAGACTAGCTATGGGAGTAGAAAATCCTGCACTACCTTTCTCCTAAGGAGCAGCTAGTGGTTTTGAACTGCTGACCTTGGTGGATTGCAGCACAACTTGTAACAACTACGCCACCAGGGCACTCTACAATGCTATACTTCTCTCAAAATAGAATTTCTTTTCTTATCTTTTTTTTTTTTTTTAGAATTTATTTCCTTACGAACATTTTTACCTCCAGTGGGAAAATAAGTAAATGAGACCCCATAGAAGTGTATACACATCATTCTATAATTTCTTTGCTCAATAGAGTGAATTGAAAATTACAAGAGGCAGGTTAATACTTTTCATCTGCTGTTCTGATTGTCTAATGAGAAAATTAGAAGAATCAAAGACCTGTGCAAAGAATTTGAATGGGAATCGTCGTAGTCTCTTTCACATCCAAACTTTAACATCCTTCCCTTAGATCCAAAAATCAAACACCAAATAAACAGACAAAAAAGTTCCCAGAACACTAACACAGACCAAATAATTTCAAAACAGATAGGCAAATAATTGGTACTGGAAGGTTTTGTGGTGGTCACTTTGCTTGTACCTGATCATCAACAGTTCATAGGTTCTGCTTATGCCTAGCTCCTTTTCTGTAGTAGGGAAATAGGTATTACAGGCAATCCTTAGATTGGAACTGTTAGGTATATTCGTATCCTTTGAATTAGTCTATAGCAGAGTGCACCTTTTCGGTGGCAGCCATGATGGCACAGTGGTTAAAGTACCTGGCTGCTAGCCAAAGGTAGTTAGTTTGATGAACCTATAGCCACTTCCTGTGAGAAAGATGTAGAAGTCTGCTTCCGTAAAGATTACAATCTTGGGGGGAAAAAAAAAAAAGATTACAATCTTGGAAACCCTATGGAGCAGTTCTACTCTGTTCTGCAGTCTCTATTAGGCAGAATTGATTTCACATTTGCCTTAGTGGGTACTCTGGTGGGATAAGTAGCCAGTTAGGCCTTGAGTCAGCAGTTCAAACATGCCAGCCTCTCTGTGGGATACAGATGAAGCGTTCTGTTCCCTTAAAAATGTAAAACCTTGGGAAGCACAGGGGCAGTGTCCAGTGCAGGGATTATGAGTTGAAATTGACTTGATAGCAGTGTATTTGTTTGGCTTTTGGCCTTCTCTGCATACAAAGCATTAACAAAACTTCCAGATACACTAAAACAGTGGTTCTCAACCTGTGCGTTGTGACCCCTTTGGGGGCCAGATGACCCTTTCACAAGGGTTGTCCAATTCACAACAGTAGCAAAATTACAGTTATGAAGTAGCAACAAAAATAATTTTTTGCTTGAGAGGTCACCACAACATGAGGAACTGTATGAAAGGGTTGTGGCATTAGGAAGGTTGAGAAACCACTGCACTAAAACATCTTTTAGTGTAATTCTAAAACTGCAAAGCTCAAACCCAGTGCCATATACTACTACTACTACTATTTTGATAACTCATAGCAGAGTAGCACTAGTTTGTTTTTATGAATCACTGTTGTATGTACCTTGAGTTTTTAACCTAATAGGCTTTACAGGGGTTTGTTCCTAACCGGAAATTGTAAGGAAATGGGAGGCAGGACACTCCTCACTGGAGACTGCCTATTAAAGCACTAGGCTGACTTATTACTGTCTTCTGCTGAGCTATCCTTTTGACCATTTTCTTAGAGTTCATTCCTCATTTTTTGACATCAGAGACCTCTTAAGTTACCTGTTTTTAGAGCTTTGAATAACCTGATTGACAAATTTGCTCTTGGGTTTATTGGGCCTCATAATTGCAAGTTAGTTTCAAAAAGGCAGGGTGGAAATATAATAGATTAGCTCTTCTCAAGGTAATGTAGAGAAGAATTTTCATAATTGGTTTAAGTATTGCGTGAGTTTCATCCTTGCCTAAGCTCATCATATTAAAAAAAAAAAGTACTAAGAGTCTTACTGCCTTTGGTTGTTCAGCAGATTCCTGAGGGGTAGTGGCAGTCCCACAGGGGTAATCCTTCATACAGCTAAATATAAAGATCCTTTGAATACTAATTGTTTTTAGAATTGTAACTTTTATATTTTTAAGCCTACCCCTTTTAGAATTGCTTATCTTAAGGATGCAACATTTATCTTCTGAGTATGTTGTCCTCAGTATCTTTTGTAGGAGATAGACTAACAAACATATTACATATATATCATAGTTCATGCCACCCATACAGAGTCCAAAGGATGGGGCTTTTGAACGCATTAAACTTGGTAAATTGTACATATTAAAAATGTCCTAGCCTGGCTTTTGGGTTTGACACTGTCAATTAGGTTTGGGGGGCCCCAGGTCTTTGCTCCTGTTTGTTTCCAATAGCAGTCTCACACTACCCACCCGTTCTCCAATTCATTTCAGCTCCAAGACTAATTTTTCATGGTACTTGCCCTGATTGTTTTCATAGTGTTCAAATATGTATTTTTGTATGTAAAGGAAAATTGCTTTCTCAACACTACTTTTAGTATGTATAGTATTGTCATGAAGAAGCTCTTGTTTAACAAATGGATGTGTAAAATGCTACAAACTAATGATCAAATAAACCCTGGGTGCTGAGTAATTTTTATGCATTTGATCTTTGTTTTGCTACTAGATGTATTATAAGCTTAGTGATATATTTTTTATACTTTAATATAGTACCAACACAACTGCCATTGTGTCAATGGCAACTCATAGTGACCTTACATAGGTCTTTTGAGACTAAATCTTTGGGGGAGCAGAAAGCATCATCTCTATCACAGAGGGGAGGGGCTGGTGGGTTTGCATGGTCACTTTGAGATTATCAGTCCAAATTTACCTGACAGTGCCTCCGGGCTCCTTTTTACGTAGTAGGAAGTCAGTAATTAAAAAGTGACTTGTAATCCAAATTTGTTAGTAAGTAGATTTGGTTAGCTCTTGTATTTCATTTTCTTTTAGAAGTATGTCGAGTCCCAAAATGCAAACTGAGTATGCATTGGGCTTACTACAAGGCCAGCAGTTTGTACCCACTAAACTGCTCTGCAGGAGAAAGATGCGGCTGTCAGCCCCCATAAGGATTAATAGCCTCAGGAATACTAGGGAGCAGTTCTACTCTACCCTTTAGCGACTCAGTGAGTCCGACTTGTATCAATGCAGTAGGTTTGGTTTGGGCTTTTAAGCTAAGTAAAAGGAACCTTGCTGACACAGTGAGCTAAGCATCAGGCTGCTAACATTGTTAGCATGGTTGGTGATTCAATCCCTTCAGACACTCTGCAATAAAGGTAAGACTGCCTGTCTACTCTCATAAAGATTTAGTCCTTTCCTCTTATGTATATTCTTGCCACAAGTAGGGAAAAGTTCACGAATAACAATGACTACAGGAAGAAGAAAATGTTCTAGAATTAAATATGGTGACATTTGTACAACTCTTCTTGATATAGTTGAATTACTGAGTTGTATGACACGTGGATGCTAAATAAAACTGTTTTAAAAAGAAAAGAAATTCCAAGAAATTTAGTTCTGGAAACCCTAAGGAGAAATTCTACTGTCACTGTGAATTGGAATTGAGTAGCAGTGGATTTTGCTTTGTTTTGGTTTGAGTAAAAGGCATACATATGCGCATATGGTGTGTGAAGATGTGTGGCAAACTGGACATGATATGGTCTAAAGGTTAGGGATTTTTATAGCCCTGTAGGGTTACTGTAGAGGGTCATTAGATAGCGTCCTTATGAGTTGGCAGCAACTTTATGGCAGTGAGTTTGGTTTCCTAGGAGTGAATGTCCAGGCTTGTTTGATTTAACATTCCCCCTTTTTTCCTAAAGCAAACCCAGAAATCTGAATTTCTATGTGAAAATTGTAATATCAAAATGTTTAAGTTTTTAAAATTAAATGCTGGGTGCCAATAAGATTTTTTCAGTGACCAGGTGAGGAATAAAAGCCTTAAGTTTGTAGCTTCTTTTTTTTAATTGTTTTATTAGGGGTTCATACAACCCTTATCACAATCCATACATACATCAATTGTGTAAAGCACATTTGTACATTCATTGCCCTCATCATTCTCAAAGCATTTGCTCTCCAC